CTCAGACACAGGATACAACAAGAGTAAATGAAAGAATGATGCGGACATTTCAGTAGCCACTCAGAAATTTGGGGCTACGATCACATGGATCAGAGAGAAGAGAAACTGGAGGACTGGCGGGATGAGAATAGATTCATCCTCATTAATAAGCCAGCTGACCCACCAACTGACCGACTAACCTTCCACTGAAGAGCATGGCATACCACCTCTACACCAGACCTGGCACCAGACCACCCACTGACCGACTAACCTTCCACTCAAGAGCCTGGCATATCACCTCTACACCAGACCTGGCACCAGACCCCCCACCGACTGACCAACCTTCCACTCAAGAGCCTGGCATATCACCTCTACACCAGACCTGGCACCAGACCCCCCACCGACTAACCAACCTTCCACTCAAGAGCATGGCATACCACCTCTACACCAGACCTGGCCTTTTACTGACCAAACATGGAACTGAATATTACTAGAACTGTTAGGAAAAAACTAGAAAGCAGTGACCACTGGCCAGTCCTTCTAACTGTAGAAAACCAGTCTGTAAGAGACATCAGCACTCTACCAAGATGGAATTATAAGAAGGCAGACTGGAAAGGAAGAAGGACATCGAGCACGAGGTAGACCAAGAACAAAATGGAAGGATAACATCAGAGAAACTCTACAACAGCACAATGTGCCTATGGTCGAGGCGGCCAGAAGAGCTAGAAACAGAACCTTATATCTCCCTCGACACCCACAGCGGTAAAAGAGGAAGTGAAGAAGAAGAAGAAGAAGACTGGAAAGAGTGAGGAGATCAGAGAGATGACTGCACAAATATCTGTATCGCCTGCACCAAGAGAAATAAGGTAGAGATATATTGGGCACACTCTGAGTCGGAATTACCAAAGAATTACAAAACAGGCACTAAAGTGGGAAACAAGTGGTCTGAGAAAAAGAGAATATCCAGAGGAAACATCAAAAAGAACATTGTAAGAAGAGACAACAAAAAATGCTGGGCTGAACTCCATGTCAGAAATCGAGAAAGCTGCATGAAAAAGAGCGGAGTGGAGGAATCGAAGCACTGTGTGACATCTAATGGCAAACAAATGATGATATAAGAATTCAGAAGATGTGACAATACGCTCGGTGACTCCAGAATGTCTTTCCTCAACCTACTTTTATTTGTATGTATTTTGAAGCATACAGACAAATAGGGATTTGGATACATCCTTAATCAAAGTAAGACGACCACATCACACCTTTAATTCTCCTGGACCGTTGGTCATATCAAACACTAAAACTTTTTCCCAGATGTTAAGTGTTAAGGTACAGAGATAAGACTGACCAAGCAGACTTACTGACTGGAGATTTGCACACCATTTGTTGGTGTCAGATAGTTATTCCCCCTGCCAGATCTTCAGGAACAGATAACAAGGGCTAATTGCCATTATCTCCCCCTGAGGTTACCTAAACTGGAGTGCCGGTCAGATCGTCACTATTGACACAGTGAGCGGAAAGTGTTGGCAGAAGAATTGACAAAGTCGGATTTTATTGTGATGACAGGTGAAGTAGACTGGAGGTGTGACTTGTCTTATTTGCTCTGGTCAGATGAATTGACCAGGAGATCCTAGCGTGGGAATTTGAACAAGTGTTGTACAGCCCTGACTGACAGCGAATAAACTTACCCACAGGGAGGAGCTGTGATATCCTTGAATGAAAATGATTTTAGGCGTAATGTAGGAGGAGCTTGATAAAAGTTATAAAGTGGTGAACTTAAGGTCTGGTAAATGAGATCCTGTCTAGCACATGCCATCTGTTAAGCTTAACCTAAGCTTGAGACAGAACTTTTCGCATTGTGGTTTCATTTTTCCAGGTAAGATCGAAATTAGGTTCAAATCTATATTTTGTGATAGAAATCTAACTGTTTTTGCTCAAGTGTGTCTTCATTACTTTGTAGTACTCTTAGGCGGACATTTGTTCATTCTCGTAGGGCACTGTCACATTGCTTTATTTCCTATTTGATAGTGTCATGAATGTTTTTCGTGCACATGTGTTTCAATGTTGTAAAACCTAAATGTTGTTGTTGCCATTGAAATTTAATGAACTATCATGTTTTTTAAACCACAAGCGTGAAGATAACTTTGGCAATCTTTTCACGTGTGGTTAATGTGAATCTGTATTACATACAGCTAACACACTGAAATGTGTTTAACTCTCGGGAGGCTAATGCGGAGATTGATCCCGGAGAGTAAATCCACGAGATTTGTTATTTGATTCGCCCCAGAACTATTGTTAGCATTCTGGGCGCGTCGATTGTTCCAAGCATAGATTCCAGAACTGGTTCTGTCTGACTGATTGTCATTTTGAGTCTGTACGAGAGATGGCACCTGACGTAGAAGACTTGACTATCATTACAGGACGTGTAGAGGAAGGCAGAAGATGTAACAGTTGGAATGTGAGACATTAGCCCTTCCAAATTGGACAGGAGTGAATGTGAGCATGAGGGAGAGATGAAATGTTTTATTTAAATAAACATGCTTGATGTTAGTATAATATACATGCTTAGTGTACATCTAGAGCAGATACTACAAATATGCGCTTGTTTCTTCATTCTCCAGTTCCCACATTGGGCAGGGACTAGTAGGCATCCATTATTTGCCGACCGTCGAGTGTAACGACCTGCAGAAAGCAGTGAGGACGACAAACTGGAAAAGATAGACAGGGTCTCAAGCCGAGAACTGTCCAAAGGTTGTTACTTTCCTATACCTTTATGATTTCATCATTCACATCATTCCAACTCTACTAGCCTAAACAAGTTCATTTTAATTTCGATTTATTCAAATAAATCATGTGTGATGAGTTTCATGATAGTTGAGTAAATTGTGTACTTAGGTTCAAGTGTCTTTGTGCATATTAGTTTACTTCAGCTAACAAATATTTAAATCACTTGATGGGGGCTTTTAAGTAATGCCAGGAGAGGAGAACAGTCGGAGGGGTTAACTGAGTATCCTGATATTATCTCAGTGGGTTCATCTTGATCTCTATCTATCCCTTCTCCTACTCCTGTGGATACAAGTACAGCAACTTTCATTTCATGGAACGAGCCACTCGCTGTTTTCTTGGCTATCCAGGACTGTCTAGGATCAACATAGCTTAGATAATAGTCCAGTTTCTCACGTGGGTGGGCATTGTTAAGGTTCAAACCCACACCCTCACTATATCAGTGTATTTACCCACGTGGGCGCGCGACAGAAGATTACATATTTGATATGTCAGTCCATCTGTGTCACAGCGACAGAGGATCATGTAAGTGACAGAAGCTTGTTGCGCAACAGACTGCAGGACCATGTTAAATAATATTAAACACATGGCCAGGTAAAGCTATTACAACAGGCAACCTCCTCCTACAGACTGCTATCCTCATCAACTTCTACTTCTGCATTTGGCATTGAGGAGAGAAACGGTTCAAATTTGGGAACTTGATGGGAGACACAGCCTATTGTTATTTCATGTGGATGCATTCATGTCACTGATGTTCTCAGTCTAATGTTCTAATGTCACTGATGTTCTCACTCTGATGTTCTAATGTCCCTGATGTTCTCACTCTAATGTTCTAATGTCCCTGATGTTCTCACTCGGATGTTCTAATGTCACTGATGTTCTGACTCTGATGTTCTATTGTCACTGATGTTCTGACTCTGATGTTCTAATGTCACTGATGTTCTGACTCTGATGTTCTAATGTCACTGATGTTCTGACTCTGATGTTCTAATGTCACTGATGTTCTGACTCTGATGTTCTAATGTCACTGATGTTCTGACTCTGATGTTCTAATGTCACTGATGTTCTCACTCTAATGTTCTAATGTCACTGATGTTCTCACTCGGATGTTCTAATGTCACTGATGTTCTGACTCTGATGTTCTAATGTCACTGATGTTCTGACTCTGATGTTCTAATGTCACTGATGTTCTGACTCTGATGTTCTAATGTCACTGATGTTCTCACTCTAATGTTCTAATGTCCCTGATGTTCTCACTCTAATGTTCTAATATCACTGATGTTCTGACTCTAATGTTCTAATGTCACTGATGTTCTCACTCTGATGTTCTAATGTCACTGATGTTCTCACTCTAATGTTCTAATGTCACTGATGTTCTCACTCTAATGTTCTATTGTCACTGATGTTCTCACTCTGATGTTCTAATTTCACTGATGTTCTCACTCTGATGGCAAGAAGCAACAGACATACCTGGTACTGGTCTCTGGAACAGCCACAGGCTGGTGGCAAGAAGCAACAGACATACCTGGTACTGGTCCCTGGAACAGCCACAGGTTAATGGCAAGAAGCAACAGACATACCTGGTACTGGTCCCTAGAACAACCACAGGTTAATGGCAAGAAGCAACAGACATACCTGGTACTGGTCCCTGGAACAGCCACAGGCTGGCGGCAAGAAGCAACAGACATACCTGGTACTGGTCCCTGGAACAGCCACAGGTTGGTGGCAAGAAGCAACAGACATACCTGGTACTGGTCCCTGGAACAACCACAGGCTGGTGGCAAGAAGCAACAGACATACCTGGTACTGGTCCCTGGAACAACCACAGGCTGGTGGCAAGAAGCAACAGTCAAACCTGGTACTGGTCCCTGGAACAACCACAGGCTGGTGGCAAGAAGCAACAGACATACCTGGTACAGGTCCCTGGAACAACCACAGGCTGGTGGCAAGAAGCAACAGACATACCTGGTACTGGTCCCTGGAACAACCACAGGCTGGTGGCAAGAAGCAACAGTCAAACCTGGTACTGGTCCCTGGAACAGCCACAGGTTGGTGGCAAGAAGCAACAGACATACCTGGTACTGGTCCCTGGAACAACCACAGGCTGGTGGCAAGAAGCAACAGACATACCTGGTACTGGTCCCTGGAACAACCACAGGCTGGTGGCAAGAAGCAACAGACATACCTGGTACTGGTCCCAGCAACAACCACAGGCTGGTGGCAAGAAGCAACAGACATACCTGGTACTGGTCACCGAGATCTATGTCAATCTCAACTTCATTTTGGAATCCAGAAATCCACATGCTGTTGCTGTCGCCATCATTGGTATACTCCAGCGGATGAGCATCTCTAGATATCCGGGGAGTCATATCAGCTGAGGTGGACAGGTCACCATTTCTGATGCAGTACTGAGTCTGGCCTGGTTTGACCCAAGGATAAGTGCCTGGACATCGACACTCCGACTGTATTCGAACAGGAGGAAACACTCCAGAATACACTTGAGCTATCTCCCTGTTGCAATCAGAAGATATCCAATAGAGGTTACCATGTGCAAGCATGTGCAGAAGCTGGGACATGATCAGCATTGAACAAAAAATGTGAAGATGAAATCCAAATAAAAAAACAACAGAAAATGGAACTGGTCCTCCTGACAAAAACAGTCACAAAAACAGAACAAATGTTGCAGCTAGAAAGACTTCATTAGCACATAAAATCTTGTAGAAACTAATACAAGTGCATTATTAAAAACTATTTACTGGTCACTTATCTGAGTGTGGGTCCTAGAGTCATCTATACTAGAGACATCTATACTAGAGTCATCTATACTAGAGACATCTATACTAGAGTCATCTATACTAGAGACATCTATACTAGAGTCATCTATACTAGAGACATCTATACTAGAGTCATCTATACTAGAGACATCTATACTAGAGTCATCTATACTAGAGACATCTATACTAGAGTCATCTATACTAGAGACATCTATACTAGAGACATCTATACTAGAGACATCTATACTAGAGACATCTATACTAGAGACATCTATACTAGAGACATCTATACTAGAGACATCTATACTAGAGACATCTATACTAGAGACATCTATACTAGAGACATCTATACTAGAGACATCTATACTAGAGACATCTATACTAGAGACATCTATACTAGAGACATCTATACTAGAGACATCTATACTAGAGACATCTATACTAGAGACATCTATACTAGAGACATCTATACTAGAGACATCTATACTAGAGACATCTATACTAGAGACATCTATACTAGAGACATCTATACTAGAGACATCTATACTAGAGACATCTATACTAGAGACATCTATACTAGAGACATCTATACTAGAGACATCTATACTAGAGACATCTATACTAGAGACATCTATACTAGAGACATCTATACTAGAGACATCTATACTAGAGACATCTATACTAGAGACATCTATACTAGAGACATCTATACTAGAGACATCTATACTAGAGACATCTATACTAGAGACATCTATATCCTCAAACACAGAAATCAACATGTCCGTTGCTCACTATTTCAGTTTTGTGCCAGGAAAGGATCAGGTGATCCCATTTAAGATATTCCTGCAGTAGTATCCAGTGATAACAAGAGTACACCTACTGGGTTATAGGTACAGTGATAACAAGTGTACACCTACTGGGTCATAAGTACAGTGACAACAAGTGTACACCTACTGGGTCATAAGTACAGTGATAACAAGTGTACATCTACTGGGTCATAAGTACAGTGATAACAAGTGTACACCTACTGGGTCATAAGTATAGTGATAACAAGTGTACATCTACTGGGTCATAAGTACAGTAATAATGAGAGTACACCTACTGGGTCATAAGTACTGTGATAACAAGTGTACATCTACTGGGTCATAAGTACTGTGATAACAAGAGTACACCTACTGGGTCACAATTTATTAAGTACTTAACTCCTGTATATGTACCTGACGTATCTAGATTGAGTACAATGGTTTATCTGATATTAAACATTTCATCACATACACCATTTTCCCACACAGAGAATGTCACACATTTGTGCACATGCAGGGAACACCTCACATTTTCCCACACAGAGAATGTCACACATTTGTGCACATGCAGGGAACACCTCACATTTTCCCACACAGAGAATGTCACACATTTTTGCACATGCAGGGAACACCTCACATTTTCAAACACATGTAGTATTTCTCACACTTGAACATAAACTAATTTTCATACTTCAGATACATCTCATATTTGTGCACAGAAAAACACCTAATAGAAACCCCAAGTCTTAAATGGGTACCTGAAACTGTCCTGGGAAGTAAAGGTGGTCAGCATGATTGTGACCACATCTCCGACTGACTGCTGATTGGTGCATACAAATGTAGTCTAGCAGGCTATGCTGGATGGGTCAGGGGCAGACAATGCTGGATGGGTCAGAGGCAGACAATGCTGGATGGGTCAGGGGCAGACAATGCTGTATGGTTCAGGGGCAGACAATGCTGAATGGGTCAGGGGCAGACAATGCTGGATGAGTCAGGGGCAGACAATGCTAAATGAGTCAGGGGCAGACAATGCTGGATAGGTCAGGGGCAGACAATGCTGGATGGGTCAGGGGCAGACAATGCTGGATGGGTCAGGGGCAGACAATGCTGGATGGTTCAGGGGCAGACATTGCTGGATGGGTCAGGGGCAGACAATGCTGGATGAGTCAGGGGCAGACAAGGCTGGATGGGTCAGGGGCAGACAATGCTGGATGGGTCAGGGGCAGACAAAGCTGGATGGGTCAGGGGCAGACACTGCTGGATGGGTCAGGGGCAAACAATGCTGGATGGGTCAGGGGCAGACAATGCTGGATGGGTCAGGGGCAGACAATCCTGGATGGGTCAGAGGCAGACAATGCTGGATGGGTCAGGGGCAGACAATGCTGGATGAGTCAGGGGCAGACAATGCTGGATGGGTCAGGAGCAGACAAAGCTGGATGGGTCAGGGGCAGACACTGCTGGATGGGTCAGGGGCAGACAATGCTGGATGGGTCAGGGGCAGACAATGCTGGATGAGTCAGGGGCAGACAATGCTGGATGGGTCAGGGGCAGACAAAGCTGGATGGGTCAGGGGCAGACACTGCTGGATGGGTCAGGGGCAGACAATGCTGGATGGGTCAGGGGCAGACAATGCTGGATGGGTCAGGGGCAGACAATCCTGGATGGGTCAGAGGCAGACAATGCTGGATGGGTCAGGGGCAGACAATCCTGGATGGGTCAGGGGCAGACAATGCTGGATGGATCAGGGGCAGACAATGCTGGATGAGTGAGATGTCAAGTGAAGACAACATTGCAAGTAGCAGCACTTACAGACATGTCAGATAGGTCAGGGGCAGACAAGGTTGGATGGTTCAGGGACAACCAGTATTCTGTGTCACTGTTTGGGAGGGACAGAGTTGTTTACCTGTTTGTGAGTGTCAGCGAGTAAAACTTGAGATCCTGAATTCTGCCGATAAACTGGTCATTTCCTGTAGAAGATATACACAGCTAATTCAGTTGATGTCAAGTTTCATTAATCTGCTTTAATGGTTGGGGTCTTTGGGTGTGGAAATTCGGTCTTTTTCAGTTCAATACAAATTTTGATGGTCAGATTTTGATCCGTATGATCTAGTTTTGTCGGACAATTAGGATGGTTGCTGTTGTGGTGTACCTCAGCACGGTGTCGACGACACTGAGGGTTAACCGAGGATGTACATGAGTGGCCAGCCTATGGATGGCTGCTGTTGTGGTGTACCTCAGCGCGGTGACGACGACACTGGGGGTTAACCGAGGATGGTCAGCCTATGGATGGTTGCTGTTGTGGTGTACCTCAGCGCGGTGACGACGACACTGAGGGTTAACAGAGGATGTGCAGTGAACAATGTTCTCTTTACTCCGCAGTCTTTTAACCAAGGGTTGTAATTTTGGCTGTACGTTTGGCAAACCTACTCATGTTCCTAATGAGTTTTGATAACATTTTTCACCCAAGCGTTTGGGGGCGGGCTGATGAGAGCCACAAGGACACATCACCTCTGGGGGCCGCCGAACTCCGAGATCCCCTGACAGCTCTGTTAATGCTCATTTGAGACATTATCCGTGGCGCACGACGAGGACGTGCTGTAGGGGTCTTGCGTGAGGTTCCGTACAACCAGGATAGTTAAGGACTGGCGCCCGAGTGACGTACGGAGTATCTCCTTATACACATCATGTTGGACTTAACTTCCCCTCATGCCTGTGACATAAATCACCGCGCCACGCATCTGTCATGTGTTTGCATGGGTATGTGTGACACAGCATTGTTGTATCTGATTCTGCATGTCGGCATGTCCTCTCCAACGTCAGCATCTTTTCCTCACCACTTAATTCATTATGAGTTTAGTCCTCTTCCTATGCTCTGCATCAGTGATACTATGATACTATTTAATTGCCCCTATCATCTGGTGAGGTTATCAGTTAATGAATATTTGCAGACTGTAAGCATTATTGTAATCATTTCCCATGTTGCTGATCCAGACAGAGGTACTCAACTGACAAGGGGCTAGAATCCCTCAGCCCTATACAATTTCACATTCTTTTCTCTCACCTCTAGACATCTTTCTCACTAGTAGTAGCTGTGGCATAATGGTAAATTTGCTAACTGGGCCATCCAGTGCAGCGTTGGAATCCGGTATGTCATGATTATTGTTCCATCAGTAAAGCTCTGGGGTTGACCCAGCCTTGTAAAAAAGGATTTGCCACTCCACCACAGTATGTTCTGTTTGTGAAAGGATCTGCCACTCCACCACAGTATGTTCTGTTTGTGAAAGGATGTTAACATATTTTATAAAACTGGGTGGAACTTGTCAGGGGGGAAGGGGGGGGGGGGGGGGAATAACCACTATGTGAGCAAACACAAGCACCTACCACAGCCTATGTCAAAATGGCCTCCCTTATAATAAAACTATTTGAACTGTCCCAGTATGTGTACACTTGTTTGTTCCAGACAGAACATGTGTACACTTGTTTGTTCCAGACAGAACATGTGTACACTTGTATGTTCTAGTCAGAACATGTGTGCACTTGTATGTTCCAGACAGAACATGTGTGCACTTGTTTGTTCCAGACAGAACATGTGTACACTTGTTTGTTCCAGACAGAACATGTGTACACTTGTATGTTCCAGGCAGAACATGTGTACACTTGTTTGTTCCAGGCAGAACATGTGTGCACTTGTATGTTCCAGACAGAACATGTGTACACTTGTATGTTCCAGACAGAACATGTGTGCACTTGTATGTTCCAGACAGAACATGTGTGCACTTGTTTGTTCCAGACAGAACATGTGTACACTTGTATGTTCTAGTCAGAACATGTGTGCACTTGTATGTTCCAGACAGAACATGTGTGCACTTGTATGTTCCAGACAGAACATGTGTGCACTTGTATGTTCCAGACAGAACATGTGTACACTTGTTTGTTCCAGACAGAACATGTGTACACTTGTATGTTCCAGTCAGAACATGTGTGCACTTGTATGTTCCAGACAGAACATGTGTGCACTTGTTTGTTCCAGACAGAACATGTGTACACTTGTTTGTTCCAGACAGAACATGTGTACACTTGTATGTTCCAGGCAGAACATGTGTACACTTGTTTGTTCCAGGCAGAACATGTGTGCACTTGTATGTTCCAGACAGAACATGTGTACACTTGTATGTTCCAGACAGAACATGTGTGCACTTGTATGTTCCAGACAGAACATGTGTGCACTTGTATGTTCCAGGCAGAACATGTGCGCACTTGTATGTTCCTGGCAGAACATGTGTACACTTGTATGTTCCAGGCAGAACATGTGTGCACTTGTATGTTCCAGACAGAACATGTGTACACTTGTATGTTCCAGACAGAACATGTGTGCACTTGTATGTTCCAGACAGAACATGTGTGCACTTGTTTGTTCCAGACAGAACATGTGTACACTTGTTTGTTCCAGACAGAACATGTGTACACTTGTATGTTCCAGGCAGAACATGTGTACACTTGTTTGTTCCAGGCAGAACATGTGTGCACTTGTATGTTCCAGACAGAACATGTGTGCACTTGTATGTTCCAGACAGAACATGTGTGCACTTGTATGTTCCAGACAGAACATGTGTGCACTTGTATGTTCCAGACAGAACATGTGTGCACTTGTATGTTCCAGACAGAACATGTGTGCACTTGTATGTTCCAGACAGAACATGTGTACACTTTTATGTTCCAGACAGAACATGTGTGCACTTGTATGTTCCAGACAGAACATGTGTACACTTGTATGTTCCAGGCAGAACATGTGTGCACTTGTATGTTCCAGGCAGAACATGTGTGCACTTGTATGTTCCAGGCAGAACATGTGTGCACTTGTATGTTCCAGGCAGAACATGTGTGCACTTGTATGTTCCAGACAGAACATGTGTGCACTTGTATGTTCCAGGCAGAACATGTGTGCACTTGTATGGTCCAGGCAGAACATGTGTGCACTTGGATGTTCCACATAGAATAAGTAAGACTAAGCAAGCAATGAACCATACCATTCCTGCCTTGTCCAACTGTGAAGACACCGTCGCTGTCAGTAACTGTGCCCAGTAGCCTGACAGTAGCATAAGCTGACAAGTCAGAGCTAGGTCCGTTGATGTAAACACTTGCCTGCACATCATGGACCTTCAGGAGAAAACAATCACAGATGAAGGTTACAAGTGAGAGAATCTACTTCACTGCACCGGGTTCTACTCCATGTGGCTCAGTTTCTCTCTGCAGAATGACTAGCTGTCTGCCGAGAGCGTCACACAGAGCACGAACTCCATACATCTGGTGATGATCTACAGGGATCCCAAGGCAACTACATATGCCTTATATCAACTTCCTAGCAGTACCTGTTTCTTCACACTGTTGTCTAACCCATCAGTACCTGTTTCTTCACACTGTGAAGTCTAACCCAGCAGTACCTGTTTCTTGACACTGTTAAGTCTAACCCAGCAGTACCTGTTTCTTGACACTGTTAAGTCTAACCCAGCAGTACCTGTTTCTTCACACTGTTAAGTCTAACCTAGCAGTACCTGTTTCTTGACACTGTTAAGTCTAACCTAGCAGTACCTGTTTCTTGACACTGTTAAGTCTAACCTAGCAGTACCTGTTTCTTGACACTGTTAAGTCTAACCCAGCAGTACCTGTTTCTTCACACTGTTAAGTCTAACCTAGCAGTACCTGTTTCTTGACACTGTTAAGTCTAACCTAGCAGTACCTGTTTCTTGACACTGTTAAGTCTAACCTAGCAGTACCTGTTTCTTGACACTGTTAAGTCTAACCTAGCAGTACCTGTTTCTTCACACTGTTAAGTCTAACCCAGCAGTACCTGTTTCTTCACACTGTTAAGTCTAACCTAGCAGTACCTGTTTCTTCACACTGTTAAGTCTAACCCAGCAGTACCTGTTTCTTGACACTGTGAAGTCTAACCCAGCAGTACCTGTTTCTTGACACTGTTAAGTCTAACCCAGCATTACCCACCCACTACAAGTTGATCGCTCTGTCGGTTAACAACTCACTAGAAGTAGAACAAGTTGTGTATTAATATCACAGAACTGTAGTGTGGCTTTACCATTAGGCCAAACCAACCCCCTCCAGGTAAAAACAACAACTACAAATGGATATTAAGGCACTGCCAACCCTTAGAAGCGGGTGCCCTCGTTATGACATTAGCCATTTCAGGACCAGTTAGGGAAAATCGACACAATTTGGCCCTCAGATTCCCTTTTGTTTATGAGACACATCTGTGGGTGCCAGAATCTGGTCTGCTGCTTGATATTTTAGTATTTGTCTGTAAAAGTGAAGGACTTTGTCTATGCCGTAATTCATATTGGGCATATCGGGCTAGATCTATATTTTATAGACCAATCGGCACCTGGCTGATGATGTGGTCAGCATTACGCCCGCCCCCTTTACTTCCAAGAACGCCACCTATTACCCATTTAAGGCTGAGTCGACCTGGGAGCCAAGGTCATTTTTGACAGTTTGATACCGTCCACGATCTTCCGATCCACAGGTCAGTGTCTAGCCGCTGCTGTACTACCAGTAAACTAACTTGGGGTTATTTGCATACAGTTGAAGCTGGGCAGAAAACAACAGAGGTCGAACAACCCATTGTGTCACAGAAACTAAAGAGCATAAATGGTTTCTCTTAGACATCAGTGAAATGTGACTTCCAAAATATGACCGCGATTACGTCGGTCAGATGCGGTAATTATAATTATATCAACCCCATCTTATTCAACGTTGGTGGGCTATAACCGGGACATTTTCGGCATAAAAATGACAAAGTCGGCCCTCAGATCATAGACATCAACGTGGCGTGGCCCAGCAGAGGACTTGTCCCAGGGACTTTCTGCCCGGTGTCTGGTCACACTTTAACCTGAGCATTTCACTCTGCCCTGTCTCATGTTTGAACGAATTATTGAATGAATGAATAAATGAATGAATAAATGAATGAATAAATGAATGAATAAATGAATGAATAAATGAATGAATAAATGAACGAATAAATGAATGAATAAATGAATGAATAAATGAATGAATAAATGAATGAATCAATGAGCCAAACATTGACATCACTGCAATCAGAAAATTCCCGTACGTGCTTCGCCCCCTTCTTCAGTAGCCAAGGAAGACTCGACATGCTGAAATAACTAGGTTATGCTCAATAATGGTACCAGGTTGTGTGTTTCCGGTTATGTTCGATGAATGAATGAACCGAGAAGTGACATCCCTGCCCACGCCCCGTCCCCTTCCTGTGTAGCCAACGAGGAGTTCCCATACTGATAGTGCTAGCAATGTCAGTCTGATTACATGTCTGACTATTTTTTTTTTTTTTTGCCCTTGCAAGTAAAAAATCGTACAGACCTCCCTCCCACCCCACCCCAGCTCAACTTTTCTCTGTAGATAAAAATGCTATGTCACAGTTTACTTAAGCACAGAGAACCTTCACCACATCAGTTTTGTTGTAAATTAGTTCACCACTGAGACGAGTGGCGGCAGCAGCCAACCTATCAGCCTGATCTGATCACTACCACACACACCTCAATGTCGTGAATTAGTTCACCACTGAGACAAGCTAGCAGCCAACCTATCTGCCTGATCTGATCACTACCACACACACCTCAATGTCGTGAATTAGTTCACCATTGAGACAAGCGGCAGCAGCAGCCAACCTATCAGCCTGATCTGATCACTACCACACACACCTCAATGTCGTGAATTAGTTCACCACTGAGACAAGCGGCAGCAGCCAACCTATCTGCCTGATCTGATCACTACCACGCACACCTCAATGACGTGGACCAAAAAATCAATGATGTCGTATCAAGTGATGCCAGTCACTGTGAGCATAAGATACGTTCCTATAATCCCATGGTGCGATTCTGTTACAATTACAGCATTTCGAGCTGTATAACCCTCTTCCTACACACCGATGTGTTCAGGTTACAGTCGGCTAGGATAATCAGCTACTATATTAATGGCATCACAAACCGACCATGTATGTATTCTATGAGGAAACCTAAGAACAAAATGACTGGAACGTCTTTGCACTGGAACCCACAAGGGCATTGAAATAAAGGCAGACCAAAGAGCAAGGGTGGAAGTAGCTAGAGCGTCACGTTCACAAGACAGGGGATCATGAGGTCAGCTGTATACAACAGCGACAGATAAAATGACTTGGCGTGGGTCTGATGATGGTCTTTACTCGAGGGAACACACACACGAACACACGCGCGCGCACACACACACGCACGTGTGCACGCATGCACACACACACACCCACCCACACGCACGCACACAAACACACAAGATATGTGTTATTATTATTAGTCTCTGGTTAGCATGAATTTATGAAACACGAACTAGATATTCGGTCCCTCTGAATTTGTGGGGGTTACTGTATAAATCTATGGAAAATGGAAACACAGTGTACGGGACTAGTCGTTTAATTCTGGGCTAACAGTGATCCAGAATTTCCGCCCCCCCCCCACACACACACACACACACACACACACCTCCCCGCATTCACAGTTTGACTGTTTGTGAGAAGGCGGCACTAGACATGAATACTGATTGCTGCATTCATCGGCTAGAGTCCGGGTACACCTCTGGCTGTTCTCCTAATCATTTCATGAAGCCCCCTTAATGAGTTGTTTTTGATTAGATATTGATTAGTGATTGTGTGGTAGGCTGAAGGGACAGAGAAAACCCGAAGCACAAGTGCCAGTTACTACAGACAATATAGGTCTTCTTGCCCGATATGCTCAATCAGCAAAAGGAGGAGAGAAAATACAGTTGCAGAAGCAACAGGTGAGGAGAAGGTAGAAGCAGAAGCAACTGATGGCGAGAAGATGGAAGCATAAGCAACAGGTGAAGAGAGGGTGAAAGCAGAAGCAACAGATGTGGAGAAAGTGAAAGCAGAAGCAACAGGTGAGGAAAAGAAGCAGGCAGAAGCAACATAAATGGTCAGCAACAGCAGTATCTTCAGCAGAAGAAGGGAAAGGGGAGAAGAAGGTAAAGAATAAAACAAAGACAAATGTAAAGACTGTAGTAATTGTTTAAACACAGTGACAGATAAGAACGCATACCTGCAGAGTGACGTGTGTCCATGTCTGTATCGGTATGGAAGCGTCTATAGACACAGACAGAGCGTCCTCTCCAACAATGCCGTAGACGATTGTGAATCCTGATGTTCCAACTTGGAACGAAAAGAGAACAGTGCCGCCGGCCGTGTGTTTCTCCAGTAAGGTGCTGTGGGTAGGACAAGGTTGAAAGGTGAAAGGTGAAACATAGGCAGTGTTTTCTAGGCTAGGCTGGTGGTGTCTGCCAGGTTTCTTCATATTTAGGCACACATACACACCCACACACGCACGCACACTCATACACACCCACACGCCCGCACACACATACACACCCACACGCCCGCACACACATACACACCCACACGCCCGCACACTCATACACACCCACACGCACGCACACTCATACACACCCACACGCACGCACACTCATACACACCCATACGCCCACACACACATACACACCCACACGCCTGCACACACATACACACCCACACGCCTGCACACGCATACACACCCACACGCCCGCACGCTCATAACCCCCACACGCACATACATAACCGCTTTGTCAGAGATTATATTTAAACGTCGTATTATTTCTATTCCTCGCACATAATAACACACACACACACACGCACGCACACACACACACACACAATATCAGAGATGCTATGAAAAGGTCGTGTTTTTTCCCGCCTCCCCCTCCTCCGCCATCCTCACACACACAGATGCGCGCACGCATGCGCTAGATCACAGACTGGATGTAAAGCTCGTAACGTTTTTAACTTTACCCACCCCCCCCCCCCACACACACACACACTATATCAGAGATAGGATCAAAAGGTTGTATTTTTTTTTCCATTGCTAGTACAACTGCCTGCAGCTGTCAA